TCATAGCTGCAATGCTCCTTTCCAGGCAGCATCCTGGTGAACCTCCTTCGCACCCACTCCTTGCAATCACATCACACCTTGAGCTTTCTAACAGACGCTTTGCGTACAAAACCAAAGAAGTTATTCTGAAACTTTCTTTTTAAGACAGCAGTTAGAATCTCAGAATTATTCTTGCATGGAGCCCATTAAGCCTTCCAAGCCTGTGCCGGTTCTCTGCAACAATTTACCTAGGTCCACTCACCAACTGTTTCCCTGTAGTACATTCCACACCCTAACCATGCACTGTTTGTGCGTGTGTGTGTGTGTTTGGGGGTCGGGGGGGAGAATTCCTCCTGTTGTTATTGTTTCTTTTGAGAATAAAATTAAATCTGTTCCCCTGATCCTTCCAACCATGGGAGCAGTGTTTTTTTCCCTATCTTCTGTGCCCAGACTCCTCTGAATTTTTAAAAATTTTATTGAATCTTTCCTCTACCCCTCCCCCAGCCAAGGATCACAGCCCCACCACCTCTATCCTGCCCATGTCAATCAAGTCCCTCGTCCCTGGAACCATTTCTGCAGTCTCCTGGGAGCCTTCACCATCTTTCCACCAGCACAGTGCCCCGAGTTGTCCTGGACGTTCCCAGAGGAGGAAAAGAGTTCCTCTGTATCTTCACCACTACGTCTTTGTAACTTTAATCAACTTCGGCAGATCACCTCTGAATCCCAAAGGTCAACAAGCCACGTTAGTGTATTCTATCCTTTTAATTCAATCTTTTAAGTTTTACTATCAGTGTGGTGGATCTGCACTGAATCCACTTCCAGGCCAATATCTCTTTCCTGAGGTGCTTGTCCTGAACTGACTGTTGCTCCAGAGGGGAATCTGACCAAGACTCCTTACAGCTGGTCAATTAGAACTTCCTACTGGATCTGGAATGTACTGTCTGTCTGAAAGGTCAATGAACTTTCCAAAGGGAATTGGACAATTAATGGCTCATTCAAACAGCTAATGCAAGCATGATGGACTGAATAGCCTCCTGTGCTGGATGATTCCTTAGTAATACCAACAAGGAACAAGAGGCGGCCACTCAGCCCTTTGAGACTGCTGCACCATTCAGTAAGATCACGGCTGATCTGAATTTAACCTCAACTCTGCATTCCTGCACACTTCCAAGTATGTAATCAAGAATCTATCTATCTCTGCCTTTAAAATATTTAAAGATTCTGCATCCATTGCCTTTTGGGGAAAGGAATTCCAAAAACTCTCAACCTACAGGGGAAAAATGTTTCCTCATCTCTATTTTAAATGGATGAGCGCGTGTTTTTAAATTATGACCTCTAGTTCGAGGTTCTCCCACAAGAGGAAACATTCTTTCCAGATCCACCCAGTCACATCCCATCAGGATCTTTTCTGTTTCAATGAAGTCACCTCTGACTCTTCTAAACTCCAGATTCTGTCCTGGTTTTGAATGGAAAAGAACATGTAGTTTAAAGTTCATGAGGGTCGTCAAAACCAGCCGAATTCAGTGTGTTCTGAAAGTGCTGACACACTGACATCCAGATGTAACCTCGGAATATTTCAACTGTGGAGTGTATGACCCCCTTCATGGAATGGAGTTGCTGTTTCTATATAAATAAGCCTCTACTGATGAGATTTCTCCGGTATTTGAAGTTCATTTCACACACACAGGGTTTCCTATACTTCTTAACTACATAGGAATAGAAGGCCATTCTGCCCATCAAGCCTGTTCTGCCATTCAATTAGATCATGGTTGGTCATCCAACTCATTGCCACTTTCCTGCATTATCTCCATATCCCTTAATGTCACTAGTCTCCAGAAACCTATTGATTTCTCTGTTGAACCTGCTCAATCACTGCGCTTCCACTGCCCTCTAGTGTGGAAGATTTAAAAAGGAGCACAGGTGGCAGTGGAGGGTGACATGGTTGAGTGGGAGCACAGTTGATTTGCAGTGTAGGTAGCAGACTCACCCTTTATAAGCCAGAGTCTGTGGAATTCTGTCATGTGCTGTGCTCTGCACAACTCAAACCCTCACAGATGCAGGAGGATTGAATTAGTCCAGTACAGTGTAGGAGACACCCTGAGTAGCCACTCCCAGTACCACTAGGAAGTCCTGTCATTGCCACTGCACCTGATCACATCAAAGAACCATGATATTATAGGGGCTTCTAAAAGAAAAGAACACTACAATCCCACAGAATGGGACAAATGTAGAGACCAACAATGGGCCACAAAGCAGTTTATAGGAGCGGCTAAAAAGGATTATGAAATGAAACTTACAATATACATAAAAGACAATAAGAAGAGATTTTATTCATATGTAAGGGGGAAGAGGCTGGTTAAGTGTACTATTGGCCCACAGAAAGCTGAGAGTGGGGATACTGTCAGTGAACATGGGGAAATGGCAGACATGCTGAACACTGTAGAAAAAGAGAATAGCTTGCCAGAAAAATTATTAAGAGGATCAGAGACAGGGTCTAAATAAAGTTAGCTTAAGTAAATCATCAATAAACTAGGAAATTAATGGAGCTGAAGAGTGACAAATCCCCAGGAGCTGATGGTTTCCATCCACGGTTGTTCAGAGAGTACATTACTGATGCCCTAACCATAATCTTTCAGAGTTCCATGGATTCAGGAGTTGTGCCGCTGGATTAGAAATTTGCTCACGTCACTCCACTCTTTAAGAAGGGTGACAGAGGGAAACCAGGAAATGACAGACCAGTTAGCATCAGTGGTGCGGAAATTGTTATAATCAAGGGTAGAATGACTGATGGATATTGTTTATATGGACTTCCAGAAGGCTTCTGATAAAGTCCCACACAAGTGACTGTTAGCTAAGGTGGAAACCCAAGGAACTGAGGGCAAAATACTTGCATGGATAGGAAATTGGCTAAGTGGCAGAAAACAAAGTTGGAATAATGGGTAAGTAGTCAAAATGGCATGCTATGACTAGTGGTATCCCGCAGGGATAGGAATCTATGTTGGGGCCTCAAATGTTCACAATTTTCGTTAACGATTTGGATAATGGCAGAAAATGTCAGCAAATTTGGTATATGTTGATATGATTGGCCAGCATTGTAGTTAGTGTCAAGGATAGCATAAAATTAAAACAGGATATTGATAGATTAGATGAAGGGCAAAGCTGTGGCAGATGCATTTTAATATAAGCATATGTGAAGTTATCCATTTTAGACCGAAAAAGGATAAAACAGGGTATTTTTCAGAAAGTGCAAAGTTAAACCCAGTGAATGTGCAACAAAACTTGGGGGTTCAAGTTCATAGCTCTTTAAAATGCCATTAACCAGTGCAGAAAACAATCCAGAAGGCTAATTGAAATGGTGGCTTTCATATCCGAAGGACTGGAGAATAGAGATCCAGATGTTATACTGCAGTTATACAAAACCCTAGTTAGACCCTACTTAGAATACTATGAACAGATTGGGGCACCATACGTTAGGAAGGATGTTTTGGCCCTGGAGGGAGTTCAATGCAGGTTTACAAGGATGATGTTTGGACGTCAGGGGTTAAGTTATGAGGAGAGATTAGACAAATTAGATCTTTAATCTCTAGAATTTAGAAAGTTAAGGGGCAATCTGATTGAGGTCCTCGGGATATTAAGAGGGAAAGACAGGGTAGATAAACTATTTCCACTGGTCGAAGATTCTAGAACCAGGGGGCATAGTCTAAGAATTAGGGCCAGGCCATTCAGAGGAGATGTTAGAAAGTACTTCTACTCGCAAAGAGTCGTGGAGATTTGGAACTCTCTTCCTCAAATGGCAATCAATGCTAATTCAAATGTTAATTTAAATCTGAGACAATTTTTTATTAGCCAAGGATATCGAAGTCTATGGGCATATGGCGTTAAGCCACAGATCAGCCATGATCTTAATGGCAGGACAGGCTCAATGGACTGAACGGCCTACTGCTGTTCCTATGTTCCTACATCTTCCCCATTCCCAATGACATATAACCAAAGTGCTGTACAGCACCCTCCCAGCTTGGACACACAGGACACTGGTTAGATTGTGAACACATTGGAGAGAATGGTTCCAGGGTCTTCAGTCATGAGGAAGGATTGGAGAAGTTGGGGTTGCTTTCCTCGGAGAGAGAAGGCTAAGAGGAGACTTGATAGAAGTTTTCAACATCATGAAGGGTCTGGACAGAGCGGATATGGAGAAACTGTTCTCATTCATAAACAGATCGAGTACCAGAGGGCACAGATTTAAAGTGTTTTACAAGAGAAGCAAATGCAAGGTGAGAGAAACCTTCTTCCCCCATAGTGAGGAGTTGGAATGCACTGCCTGCAAGTGTGCTGGAAGCAGGTTCAACTGAGGGCGTTGAATGATTATTTATATAAAATGTGTGCGCAGGGTCACAGGCAAAAAGCACAAAGTCAAAATTGGCATAATCCAGTCTGTACGTTCACACTTGGCATTCCATTCACCCAATTACAACATTTAAAAGACATTTGGACAAGTACATGAATAGGAAAGGTTTAGAGGGTTAAGGCCAAATGGCTCTAGTTCAGTTTAGGAAACCAGGTCAGCATGGATGAGTTGGACTGAAGGGTCTGTTTTCCTGCTGTATGACTATAAATATTCATACATGGGATATGGGTGTCACTGGCCAGACCACTATTTACTGCCCATCCCTAATTGCGAAGAGTCAAAGGTTACCCACATTGCTCTGGCTCAAGGCACAGAGCAGGTAAGGATGGCAGATTTCCTTCCCTGAAGGGCATTAGTGATCCACATAGGTTTTTTGATGATCAACAATGATTACATGGTTGCCATCAGGCTAGTTTTTCATTCCTGAATTCAAGTTTCACCATTTGCCATGATTTGAACCTATATCCCCATGTCAGCATTACTAGTTGAGTGACACTCCCACTACAGCACCATATCTCCACAGAGACCGCATCAGTTAAATGGTAAGTTGTAACTGAATCAATAGCCTTCCAGCAAAACATTGAAATATTAACAAACATCTCTCTCTCTCGTCCAGGTGAAGGCCATGATGAAGACTTTCCACTCCACTCCTGCCATGCTGAATGTTCCAGCCAAGAATTCCTACCGAATGGTTATCCTGGGAGCCTCCAAGGTGGGAAAGTCTTGTATTGTCTCCCGTTTTCTGAACAGCCGGTTTGAGGAGCAGTACACTCCCACCATCGAGGATTTCCATCGTAAGGTCTACAACATTCGCGGGGATGTCTACCAGCTTGACATACTCGACACATCAGGGAATCACCCCTTCCCCGCCATGAGAAGACTCTCCATCCTGACAGGTGGGATTACACACATACAACATACAGACATAGACACACACACACACACACACACACACACACAAACACACAGGGTGAAAGAATCTCTCTCATGTGTCGCTTTATCAGATTACATTCTATCCTGCAGTTACCAACCAATCACTAATCTCATATAACCAAAACTGGCATCAAAAAATCACCAGAGATTGTAGGGGTGAGGTGGGGGGTTGTGAATTCACCACTGTGGGGAGTTTCCACTAACTGTTTGACCAGTGGATTTGGGGTGAATGAATAGTCAGGTCTGAATGTGTAGTCAAATCCAATCAGGGGAAGTACCTGGGTCATAGTGAGGGACTGGGTATTCGGGTGTTTTGGGTCTATGAACTGATTAGGAAAGAAGACCTAAAAACAATTGTGGGGGCAAAATAAAAGTACAAAATTACTATCACAAGGAATGTGAAATAGACTAGATACAATTTCTATGTAAATAACCCAAAAATCATCAGGATAGATATAAGGCCACTAAGGGATCAGGTGATAAACTCTCTGGCAGTAACAAGATGTTGTTGAATTATCACTTTGCCTTATCACAAGGGAGACTGACATTTTGGGCATTAAAGGAAGAGAGACGGGTAATTTAATTAATAAGCCAATTAAACAGAGGGAAGAAACCCCGGCCCAGGTGGATTGTATCCACACATAATAAAAGTAGCTAGGGAAGATATAGCAGAGGCTCTACTACATAAATTCACAAGACAATAGAATACTGCTGGAGGACAGCTGGACAGTTCATGTGATTTCTGTATTTGAAAAGGGAAACAGACCAATTCTAGGAAGCTATAGGGTAATGTTAGAGCTAGGGAAGATAATGAAATCCTTACTCAAAACTAAATTAGAAAAGCATCTAAAAACTGAAAACATAATCGAGCAGTCTGCATGGATGTCAAAAGGAAAAGTCACATTAGATCATGTAGATGAGCACAAAAGTGGTAGATGTAACATACTTGGAGTTTCAATAGTTCTTCAAGAAGGTACCACATAGCAGTAGGGAGTCATAGTCCACAAAGGACAATAGGCATCTCTCTCCACTACAGAGTGATAATTAATTATGACTAGCTTGACAGTAAGCTAAAGAGGCTACTACATTTGGGACAAGGATTAAACCCGAGCTATTGGCCCTTTTCTGCACGACAATCCAATTATGTCACTAACTGCCTCCCTCCCCCAGTCAAATAAACTAAAGCCAGAAACGTGGGGTCAGAGGAAGAATAGCAGAATTGATCGGTTAAGGGTAGTTACTGAGACTGGTGAAAGGTACCACTGTTCCAAAGGCCTTGGTGCTGGGACCATTTTTCATCATCGTTTAGGTCAGGAAGGCATAGTGGTGGCTATACCATACTGGTCATTCAGAGGCCCAGGCTATTTTCCACAATGCTTGCAGTGGATACAAATCTCACCATGGCAGCTGGTGGAATTTAATCTAGATTGAGAGATTCAAATGATGAAAATAACAGCTATCACTGAAATTATCTGGTTCACCAGTGTCCTTTAGGGAAGGAAATATGCCATCCCATACCCAGTGTAGCCTACGTGTGACTCCAAACCCACAGTGATGTGGAATTCCTTCTAAAATGATGGTAATCCACTTGGTTCAAAGGCAGTTACGGCAATAAATGCTCACATCCCTGTGAAAGAATTTTTAAATATTATTTGGACTTGGGAAATGAGCCCTTTCCCTAGGATGGGGGATTTCGAGATTAGGGGCACATTTTAAGGTAGGAGCAGGCAGGTGGGACTAGTTTAGCTTGGGAACATGTTCAGTCTGGACTGGTTAGGCTTAAGGATCTGTTTCTGTGATAGATGACATCACTTGGGAGGTGGGGTGAATATAAACGATGGACTGCGATGTTCATAAACTTGCAGAACATTGCATGGGAAACGAACTTCAACAGTTACATTTTGAGATGGTGTACTTTGAGTGGAAGAATAAGTAGATCAGAAACCTGCTGGAGAATGTGTCCGGATGGACTGGGAGAAGAAGGATTTGGGTGTACAGATACTGGTCACAGTCCACCCGAGGGTTAGGTGCCAAGTGATGGTCTGCAGGCGGGGGCATAGGGGATTGGGGCTTAGGCCCTGGACGGTCAGGATTCAAAGGATCAGCCCTACCTGCTCGTGAATGATATTTTTCGAAAAGCACATTTTTTTTTTTGGAGCTGCTGTGATTTTTTTTTCATCCGAGGGAATTATTAAAGTCCAGACCCATCCTTGGGCGAGTGGCACAAATAGACTGACGCTCAGTGCCATTTCACATTCAAACTGCCGCTGTCCGCGCTGTGCACCACCCTCTCCCTTCCTCCCCAGGGTAGGGGGTTTCCGGTGTGTGCAGCTCCCTCTCTTTTCCCCCGGGAAGTCCGCCATCCTGTTTCTCTTTGCCTCTCTCTTTCAGGCGATGTTTTTATCCTGGTTTTCAGTCTCGATAACCGCGGCTCCTTTGACGAGGTCGAGCGGCTGCGGAGGCAGATTATTGAGTGTAAGACATGCCTAAAGGACAAGACAAAGGCGGCGGCGGCGGCCGCCATTCCCATGGCGGTGTGTGGGAACAAGTCGGACCGGGCCGAGCTGCACCGGGAGGTGAGGGCCGAGGAGGCCGAGCGCCTGGTCGCCGGGGACGCTAACAGCGCCTACTTCGAGATCTCCGCCAAGAAGAACTCCAACGTAGAGGAGATGTTCCGGGCTCTCTTCAGTATGGCCAAGCTGCCCCATGAAATGAGCCCGGCCCTGCACCGCCGGCTTTCGGTACAATACTCCGAGGCTCTTCACCGCAAGTCGTTCCGCCTGCGGCGCGGGGCCAAGGAGGTCGGCGCTTTCGGGATGGTATCACCCCTGGCCCGCAGGCCTAGCCTGAACAGCGACCTGAGGTATATCAAGGAGAAGGTGCTGGGCCGTGGGGAGGATCGTCAGCGAGAGAAATGTCTTATCCAGTGACTGGCAGCACCGAGGGGAACAGATCCAGCCTCTCGGCATTCACAATATAAACTGCAGCTCCTGGTAACTTTAACATAATGTCAACCCTTTCAGTATCAAGTTATTTCGCGGTGTGAGACCTAAGGGATTGCTCCAACTATCTCGGTGCGATCTCTGTAACATGCGGGCCATTGCAGCTCATTCCCAACTGTTGGCTACTTAAAGGCGTGGGATGAGTTGTTTCTGGCTGTGGACAACTGTCTCTGTTCACGGCTTCGCGTTTATTTCTGTGTAATTCTCAGTACTTTACTGGATTGATATCCTTTCCTTTGTACAATATCATTTCACAGAATCTGCAGTAACTACCTAAATGTCTAAATCTTCTCACGCTACTCTGAAAGTTTAGACTACACTCAATCCATCTGCCTGTTCTAATCCCATTACCTCCTTCCTACGTGACCACTGTCTCATCCTGCTCTCAGCCTGTCTTACCCCAACCACTCAGCTTGTGCTTACTGTCTGATTCTTGTCCAGTCTTCACCCTCCCCACAGCTCCTACCTGCTGCCCCAACCCTGTCCACTGTTCCTTACACACTCTCTTACCCTCTCTTTCTACCCCTACCCAGCTCATGCCCAATTTCTCTCTCTCATTCTTTGTCTGCTCCTGCACCTAGTCCTGACCCTGTCCACTGACTTTCACTGCACACTTCCAGGACACAAGAATATATTATTTCTGTTCTACACCCATGCCCCTTTCTGTTGTATCCATTTCTCATTGCTTTCCCTCCAGCTCATTCCATTCTAGTCATGTTTTCTGCAGTGAGATTCAATAAAGGTGAAACTTGCCATAACTTTTCTGTCAATGTGTGGTTCTCTGCACTGTGAGTAGTGGAGGTGTCGGAGAGAAGTCGAACCACGTTTCACTGAAAGACCCGAGAGTTACTGGTGGATAATACATGATCGAAGCTGATTCTGACGTGAGAATGATCTGCTGTCAACAACCTGATCTGCGGAGCATCTGACAAAATAGAATCGGAGCAAGTGAGAATTGAGTGAGTAAATCTGTAAGAGGGAGATGGATGGGGCCCAAGCATAACAACCGATACATTCAGAACAGAGGAAGATGGTATGGTGGGGGTGGGGAGGAGACGGAGACCAACAGCTTAGTTCATTACATTAATCTGAAATGAAAAGCTAGTGTCAAATGGTTGTAAAAGTCCACCTGGTCCACTAATGCCCTTTAGAGAAGGAAATCTTCCATCCTTACCAGGTCTGGCTTACGCGTGACTCCAGACCCACAGCCATGTAGCTGACTCTCAAGTGCCCTCTGAAAAGGCCAAGTAAGCCACTACACCTAAACCATTCCAGAAAAGTATCATAAGAATAAACTTTTAAAAAAAAAACAAAAGAACTGCGGATGCTGTAAATCAGGAACAAAAACAAAGTTGCTGGAAAAGCTCAGCAGGTCTGGCAGCATCTGTGAAGGAGAAAACAGAGTTAACGTTTTGGGTCCAGTGACCCTTCCTCAGAACCAG